CTCCTAACTTCATGCAATTCGTCAGTGTCTTTACTCCCGGCTCAGAAACGGACTTGGTAAGGTAACTTTTCCTTCCAACATGGACTGGGGATCACACAGGTGTAGAGCCTGCAAAGTGGCTATATTGCCAGAGAAACTGAGTATACTGTCCCACAGATTACAGGGCTTTAAAATGGTTTTTAATGGTTTTTGTTATGTTGTTGGTTATTCTGTTGTATTGTTTTTGTGTTTTTAACTTTGTATGCCGCTCAGAGTCATGTACAGATGGGCAGCTATATAAATTTACCCAATAAATAAATAAATATATCTTTAAACAGACTTATATCATATACTAATTGTTTGTAGAATGTTACTGTAAAACAAACTGTGGCATCCTTGGGGTTCTCTGAGCTTGGTTCTTTTCTTGCAAATGTTTCATTACCCGGCTAGGTAACATCTTCAGAGCTTTAATTATTTGTAATCAACAAGTGTTTTGAATAAATAAGAGACAGAACATAAAATTCCCCTCCATTCCTGAGATATTATGCTACCAAAAGAAGTAAAAAGACAGGAATGAAATAGATGTTACTTAGTGTCTTAGCATCAAGACTCATGCATCATGCTGTCTTTGCCTAACAGATAATGGCTTGCTGGTTTGCAGCTATCTGGTCTTTCCTTTTTAATGATAGAGTGTTCTTTGTGAATAAGTATTGAAAAAAAATATTTCAAGCCAGGCAGGAGACATTTGTCAGGTGACAATATACTCTAGGATCACCTTCCTGGGCTTCCCACATTTGAGTCTGTGTGCCAGCCCTTTTCCAACTAAAACATTTTCTTAAAAGGTATAAGCTTTCATGAGCTATCGCTTACTTCATCAGATGCAACAGAAGGCTAGACTGATGTAAGACTTAAACTGGGATGAGATGGGGTGGAAGAATAGAAGGCAGAAGACAGGGTGGTTATGTAGATGCAAGTTATGTGTGAAACAGATTTCAGGTATCTTATCAATGACCAGTTCTAATATATTAGAAATCCATTTGTTGAGACCTTCAGAGATAGCCTGAAACTTTTTGACATATGTGAATTTATCAGTCTCTCACTCAACTGTACTGGCAGAGTTTCTTTTTTCCAAGATGGCTACTTTAAGGTCTGTTTAAGGTTAAGTGTGCTGAAAGGTTGCAATGCTCTGATATTACTTTAACCTTGTTTTGAGTCCTAATGTCAAACTTGTGTCCATAAATTCTCTTGTACAAAGTTTGGCTTGTTTGTCCTACATAGAATCCAATGTGGCATCCATGACATTGGAGGAAGAGAATGTGAAGTTGTCCAATATTGTGTGTGAAGTTCTTCAGGCCTGTGATGGTGCTGTTGGTGTAAATGTGGAGGCAAAGTAGACATCTGGGTTTGTTGCAGGATCTGGTTCCCCTGTTAGCATCATTATTGTGTTGTTTATTGTTCCTTGTGAGAATCTGCTTGATTGTTGGATGGTTGTCTGTATGGGTTGTCTATATGTAAGTATTGGCCTGCCACTCAGTGCCTGGGAAAGTGTAGTGTTATTGTCAAGCATGTGTTTCAGCTTATTAATAATGAATTTGAATGGCTTGAGCTGTAGGTGACAACTAGTAGAGTTCTTTTCTTCTGTTTTTGTGGTCTGTTTTTAATAGATCCTCCTGGAGAATTGATCTGGTGGTAAGGATTTCTCTATTGAACTCATTGGATGGTTAGTTCAGTCTCCTGAATGCCTAGTTTAATTCCATCAGTTGAGTATCTCTGTTAAGTGGGTTGAAACAAATGCAGTTGTAGTATAAAGCCTAGCTATAAATGAAATATTTGGTGGTGTGTTCTGAATGGAAGCTGGAAGCTTGTAGATATGCATGACAATCTGTAAGTTTTCTAATGTGGTATGCTTGTATCCATTGTGTAGTTTTACTGTAATAACAAGGAAGTGAACTTGTTCTGTCAACAGGCTGAGACTTAGGTTGATGATGGGGTAAAGATTTTTGAGATCATGATGGGATTTGATGAGACATTCTTTTCCATGGGTGTTCTAGTGAAGACAAACTCCTTCCATTACTTTGGATCTCATCTGCAAAGTGATGGGAGCATTAATGGAGAAATGCACACAAGGGTGAATGAGACATGACTGCGGTGGAAGGAAATAACTAGAGTGCTCTGCCAATTCACTTAAAATCAAAAGTATATAGAATGATGGTTTGCCCAGTAGCACTGTATGGCGCTGAGTCCTGGCCAACCACCAAAAGTGCTGAATGCCCTCTACATGCTATGGAGATGCGTATACTCTGTTGGTCATTAGGTGTCTCCCTTCTTGACCACATCAGCAACAATACAGTCCAGCAGCAGATGGGCGTTGCACCAATAACAGAGAAAATGCAGGAAAAACGTCTACAGTGGTATAGTCACATCCTATGAGCAGCACCCCACACCCCACACCATTGCCTGCACTACCTACCACTTTAACACCGATGGCAAACACCCAGAAGACCAAAGCAAAGGTGGCAGGACACAACTGATGCGGATATGAAAATCACCCAGTTGGACCTGGTTGCTGTGTTTGATCCTGTGAAATGGCGTTTGTTGATCTGAAAAGGTCCTGCAGGAAAAAGAGGAAGGGGGTGGGGAGTAGGAGGACTATTCTTTTCTGTGGGTCCAGATTATGAAAATATTATCAATGAATCTGAAATAAAGGGGAGATTTCGGGGGTAAGAGTTCAGAAAGCACTGTTCTTGGTCAGCCATGAAAATATTGGCATATTGTGGAGTTATGCATGTGCCCATGGCTGTATATGTTATTGCCAAAGGTGAAATAGTTACTATATGGGTGAGTCACACAGTCTGCTGCAAGGTATGCTGTACTGTCATCAGTGATGATATTCTTGATGGCTTGAAATCCCTGAAGTCTACAGTGTCTCCCCTTTAAGAGTCCCGTTCCAAGTATCCTATATTTATAGTGGATTTGTCAGTCAGCCATTCACTTTGGGAATGCTGCTCAGATTTACCACATTTAGCAGCTTGATCCTTAAGTCGGTTTCACCCACCCAGATTATCTTTGCCAAGATTTCCCAACTCATGTATTCTACACATTAGGCTCGGTCACAGATTTTCAAGCTACATTTATATATGTTCTTTGAGTAAGCTTTGTGCATCAGGTTTAAGAATCTGATTAGGTTTGTTGTTTCTTTATTTAGCTTGGTAAGTGGTTAAAAATCAAGATCTAGAGTTTGATGAGTTATTACTAAGTTAGGCATCTAAAGTTTAGTAAGTGATTACAAAGTTCTGCATCCAAATTTAAGGGAAGAAGGGGAAAAAGGGAAGCAAGATGGTGGGAGGAAGTCTCTTAAGATTTTCATAATGTATTCAGGCTGTAGACTGATGTTAAGTTCTCACCATCCATTGCAAAGTCTCTTAGAATTTCATCAGTCTCTCAGAGACCGGGTCAGGTAGAGGAGAGGTGCTGAGGAAAGTAGGAGCTAATAGGATAGGAAGTGAAGTCCATAATCATCATCATCACCACTTCCTCCTCCTCTTCTTCCTCCTCCTCCTCCTCCTCTTTTTTTTTTTTGCATCTCCCTATTAAAAATTTACATTTCCTCATACCTTGTATTAACCCTCTCATTGGTTCTGTATCCCATTTCTTCATATATGAGATCACCTTGTCCTCTTTTCCCAATTACTCTGTCTGCATAAACATGTTGTTGTTTGTAGTGAACTTATATCAGCTTTTTCTTTGATTAGCTACTGGTGGTCTACTTCAAGGCCATGTAATAATTTAACTTGAAAATCTAAAAGGATATGAAGGAGTAAGAGAAAGTAGGTTGTGGAGTCCTTGGGGTTCTCTGAGCTTGGTTCTTTTCTTGCAAACGTTTCATTATCCGGCTAGGTAACATCTTCAGTGCTAGAATG